GGCCTCGGGGACCCCCGCGCCCCCGGCTCGGAGTCAGGCGGACAAGCCGGTGCTGGGTGAGGGGGGGCGCACGCGCCAGGGCGGCTCTAAGGGGTAGGCGGACTGGGGGAGGGGCAGCGTGGGGCCTGACAGGGTCTAGAGAGCCGAAGATGGGCCTGGCCCCGAGGCCCAAAGGCCTAACTGAGCTGGGAACTGCGGACCAAAGTGGATTCCCCTGGAGGGAAATCTTGCTATGCCTTCCGGGGGTGGGGGTGGGGGTAGGGGTGGGGCTGAGCAGAGCCAGGGCTAGCAGGTTCAGCCAAGGCCTTGGGGTGGAGAATAAACCCTGATTTGGACCACGCCTCTGGGGCGGGAGGCTTGGCCCAGTTGACTTCGTTAGCATGGAGTAAACTCTGACTTGGGAAGCAGGTGCACTGGGGACCCTTACATTGGGAGGGCTAGAAAAGCTCTTGAGTTATAACCTGAGGGTGGCCCTCAGTGGATCAGGTGAGTACCGGTTCTAGGTGAAGGACCTGGAATTATATAGCATGAGAGGAACATGCTTAGAGTTGGGTTTTGAAAGCTTAAGCCTCCTGTGTGGATGATTCAATTTGGTGGAATTGGGATAAGAATACCTTAAAGCCAATAGTGAAACCTAGTCTTGAAAATAAGCTTAATAGGAAGGCAGGTTAGATTTTTGGAGTGTCTCAAAACTCAGTCCAACTCCATCTCTTCCCCCCACTTACTATCCCCACTGCATCTCTGCCTGGCAGCAATCCAAGTCCTGGGCACTGTCAAATGGTTCAACGTCCGGAATGGTTACGGATTCATCAACAGGTATCCGAGGAACCCAGGGAGAGGGTGGAATGGGTGTCTTCGAACTGGTCTGTGGGACTGGACACCTTCCCAACCTCATCTCTACCCCTGCCAAGGCACATGGTTGCAATGTCCAGCTGACGCTGGTTGAGTCTTTAACCACAGCACAAACGTGTGCTTAGTGGCAAGATGAAGCCTCCTCCACATCTTCAAGGGCAAGCAGAGGATTAATGATCCAGGAACTTGGCAAACCTGGTTCTGACCTTCCTAGCTTCTGTCTCACCTTCAGGAATTTTCATTATTTTTAGTTTGCTGTACTTTGGGGATGGAATTATGGCGCTCTCTGTACCTCAGGGCTCTGGGCTAGAATCTTCACTGATTTCCTGTTAAGGGAAGCACTTGAGGCACCCTGACGACTCCTCTCCCTTAAAGAGCTGTGTGACTCATTTGAATCCCCCACCTGATGGGACTGAGACTGGCTGTAGGGGGAGGGAGGAAGGAGGTAGTCCAGCCGGAGATTGTTGCTTCTCTTCTGTTGGCAGCCCCTCCCCTTCCAGCCTGGGAGAGGCTATAGTGGTGGATTCTGAGCAGAGCCCCCTAGTGCAGCCTTCCCCAGCCCGGGCACCCTGCCCAGCCAAGCCCTCCTGGGAGGCCTTAGTTCCCTCTTAGCAGGCTGACCTTTGTGCAGATCCAAGTGCTTTTAAAGCTGGAACATTTGTTCTGGTGAAGGCAGGCTCCTGTGAAGAGTCCCTCTCCTCTCCCTCATCCTACAGGGTTCTAGGATAAACTAGGATTGTAGGCAAGGTGATGATAGAGAATGGATATTCTTTTCTCTCATCCTTGGTCCCTCTGTATGTTGAGAGGGAACCTGACTGTGAATTTACTTCCAGGCTGAGTATGAACATAAGGTTTTGTGGCTGTTTGGAACAAGTCCCTGACACCTTGTCCCCTTCCCAAAGTCATTCTGCACCTCTGGCCTGCTCCTTGGAAGTAAAAAGGAGATAGTGGAATTTTCCAGTCCCAGTAGGGACTGGGGGTGGGGGGTTGGCCAGAAACAGTTATAGCCTGCACCAGCAGGTTCTAAGGTGCCCTAGGGTAGAAGGTGGAGCACTCTGTAGGTAAAGAGCTGTCCCAGCTCTTTCAAGGTGCCTTTGCCTTCTCTTCCATTCCTTTCTCATGAAGACCAGGATTTTCACTGAGGTTTTAGGTGTACCTCTCTATACCAGCTTTGGGGGTCCTGTCTGTGCCCCAAGTAACTGAAATCTGAAGAGGATGGGCCACCAATCTTAGGAATGGACAGCTAGGGAGGCCTTAGTGAAACTGAGTGACTTATTAAAATCACCCCCTTAACGACCCATCCTGTTCTGCAGGAATGACACCAAGGAGGATGTCTTTGTTCACCAGGTAAGCTAGGTTGGCTTTCTGAGGGGAGGAACCGGCCCTCTCTTTGAAGGCCTTTCCCATAACCCTTAGCTACAGTCCTTCTCCGGCTCCTCAACGGCCTGCCCACGTGGAAATAGCCAGTCTCCCATCTGCCTCAGGTGCTTGTATCAACCATTAGCCCCAATTGTGTTGGGTTACTGAACGGCTGTCAGTGTGTTTTGCCCTCTGGGCACTACATGCTCTCCACCTACTGGGACCTGTTAACACTACAGGAAGGAATCAGGCAGTTTTCCAAGGGAAAGAACTCAGGTCCGAGAGACTTGGGTGCAGTGGTTCTCAAAGTATGGTCCTGGCACCACCAGCAGCATCACCTGATATCCAAATTCTCAGGCCCCGCCCCAAGCTACCAAATCAGTCAGATCTTGGGGTTGGGCACCGTTTTAACAAGCTCCCAGGTGATTCTGATGCTCGCTAGTTTGAGAACCACTGCCTTGGTGTAAAGAGCTCTCTGGGATTGAGGTAAGAAGCACAGTATGTTTTACCCATTTTGCAATTTAAGATTGTCTCTGCTTTTTGTTTTGCTTTTGATTTCCTCTTTCTTGCCTCCCTTTTTGAAGTCCCTGAGGGGTATAGGAGGGAAGGGAGAGAGTATCCTGGGGAAAGTGGTAACTTCTCAGTGGATCCCCAGGCTCCTAGTTTGACTTTTCCCCTACTAAATTTTTCTTTCTTTCTTTCAATGCCAGGTATAGAATCCAGGGCCTTTCACATGCTAAGCATGCATTCTACCACTAAGCTACACCCCAGCCCCTCCCCTACTAAACTTTGACCATCTTTGGCTCTGCCCTCCAGCTCTGGACCCCAAGTAAAATGTTGAATGGAATTGGGTGGTGGACCCAGCAAGGGTGGAACAGACTCTGCTTTTGCTGCGCTCACTTTTCTCATGGCCTTTCCCCCAACCAGACAGCTATTAAAAGAAACAACCCCAGGAAGTTTCTGCGCAGCGTTGGAGATGGGGAGACTGTGGAGTTTGATGTCGTGGAAGGAGAGAAGGTTTGGGGGCTGCTGTGGGTTCTAGAGTTGGCCAGGCTTGTGGGGGAGTGTCCTGGAGGTCAGCCCAGGCTTTGATCCTTCTGGGACCAGCTCTGCCTCTGGGAATGGGGCTATGTTCTCACCAGGATGTGTCTTAACACTAAGGATGTTCTAAATAATGTGTCCATGTCTTCAGTCAGTAGTATCAAGGTGTCTTCTCAGTAGTTCACCAAGCACTTCCATGTCTATTTTCCATATGGGGCCCATCCCCAGCAGGATGCTTCTGAGTCAGTCCTCTGGAGCAAAAGATGGACAGTAGCTGCCAGCCCTTTCTCCACCCCATGGTCTTTGGGGGGAGGGTGCCATAACAGTTATTTCAAAAGGACAAGCTGTTCTTTCCTAGTTGAGTACCAACTCACTGTTGCCCTTTGGCAGGGTGGGGGAGCTGGATAAGTATAAGAGGAGCCACAGGAGAGCTAGAGAGGGGACTTGGGCTGGAAGACAGAAGAGACTCCAGTGATTCCAGCAAGTTTGCAAATGTTGTGCGTTTGTCATGGGGTGGGGAGTTCTGACGATTCCCCTTCCACATTTCCAGGGTGCAGAAGCTGCCAATGTAACTGGGCCCGGGGGGGTGCCAGTGAAAGGCAGCCGCTATGCCCCCAATCGACGTAGATTCCGTCGATTCATCCCCCGGCCTCGCCCAGCTGCCCCACCACCTATGGTGGCAGAGGCTCCCTCAGGTGGAACAGAACCTGGTAGTGAAGGGGAGCGGGCTGAGGACTCTGGTCAGCGGCCCAGACGACGGCGCCCACCACCTTTCTTCTACCGAAGACGGTTTGTGCGAGGCCCTCGGCCCCCTAACCAGCAGCAGCCTATAGAGGTGAGGAGAAGCTGCAGTAAGGGAGCCTGCTACTAAAATTTTAGGCAGAAGTGGGAATTGGTGAGGTTAGAGACTACAGGGTTCACAAAGGAAGTGGAACTAAGGGCTGGGAAGAGCCAGGGATAACCTGGCCTCTGGACAGCCAGGGTTCCTACAGCCCACCAAGGCCTTTGTATATTCCCAGGGCACTGATGGGGTAGAACCCAAAGAGACAGCTCCGCTAGAGGTGGACCAACAGCAGG